GGCATTGTTAAATAAATGTTTGCCACTGCTGCATAGTGAGCATACTTGATCAATATTTCTAATTGCTCTTTTAAAAAATGAAATACTTGAGGACAAAAATATTTTTTACTACCACCAAAACATACACAGTGACTTCAAGCAAACTTCCCGTGATGTTTCTTTCACATGTTCACTTAATACACCTTATATGAAAGCCTACTAGGTATCTGCACCTCTCCCTCACATATGTAATTACTTGCTGAACTCTACAGTCTACTTTCCTGTACTCTCTCTTTCTCTCAGAGGCACTGGGACCGCAGGAGAATGTGTTAGGGCGGAATGAACATAGGCCTTGGGGGTGGCCAAAAGCAGCTCTGCCTCTGCTGTTCTATGAGGCGCAAGTTACTCAACTCTCTGAGCTTCAGCTTTTATAACTATATATTGAGGTTAGGAAGAAACATCCAAAACATATTGCATAGCACAAAGTATATAAATACTAGCTGGTCTCTGTTTTCTTTCTTTGCCATGAACATTTCCATCTCATTACCTCTTACCAGTCTAGACTATGTGCTTTCACCATGTCTTCCCACTGAACACATTCTACAAACTGACAGATTAATGTTATTTTATGTCTTATGTTAGTGCTCTTTTCAAACCTCTTCAATGACCCCTTCCTAGTGCTTGCCAACTAAAGTTTAAAACTTCTTAGCATTTAAAATCCTCTATGTTTTTACCCAAACTTACATTCATGATCCTATCTGTCTCCTTCACAGATCCAATGCTCTTATCCATTGGTTCTCACACCCGACTGTACATTAGAATCATCCAGGTAGGAGTCAGTTTAAGATGATCATGCACAGGCCCCACCACCTCGAGACTCTTTCTTTCTCCTTTGCTCTTCATTTCTCCCTCCCTCCTTGAATTCATTCATTCATTCATTCTCAGCTGGGGCATAAGCACTGACATTTTTAAGCTCCCCAAATGATCACGAAGTCAGGATTAAGAACCACTGTTTCACCCTGGCTGGTGTGGCTCAGTGGTTAGAGCATCAGCCCACACAACAAAGGGTCTAGGGGTTGATTCCTGGCCAAGAGCACATACCTCGGTTGCAGGTGTGATCCCTGCCCCAGGTCAGGGCACGTATGCGAGGCAACCAGTTGATGTCTCTCTCTCACATGGATGTTTCTCTCTTTGTCTCTCCCTCCCTTACACTCTAAAAACCAATGGAAAAAATATCCTCGGGTGGAGGTTAACAACAACAAAAGAAACACTGTTCCAATCAGACTGGTCTGCCTCCCTATCCCGAAACATAACCTGTATTTTTCCCAAAATACGCTCTCACTCACATCTGGCCCCATTAAAATGTTCACTCCTACTTAAAGTCTCTCTTTTACCCCAATGAAAGCACAGCAGGGAGAGTTCCTCCTTCCTCTGAGCTGCTGTAATACTTTATTTCAACACGCTTCATGTTACCTTGCACTGCGGGTATCTGTGTGCATGTTGTTTCCCCAAACTAGGTGTGTAGGCTTTTGAGGGAGAGCTGAGTTCTTAGATGGCAATTTAGAAATTTGATCTTAAGCTTTACAACATCCCTTTGAATAGGTATTACCTACATATTTTATCAATAAGGAAAGTGAAACTATGAGAAGGGGCTTGCTTAAGGATTTTAATACTACTAATTATAATTCTTCTTTGTATATTACACATATTACAACCTCCTCTCATATAGTCAGAGCAGAAAAGCAGCCAATAAAAGCTGAACAAATATATGAATTTTTAACTTTGGTGACGGAAAACAGATTCAACTTCAAATCAACATTCCTAACGATTAAGGGAAAATGCAAAAAATATACCCTGTCCATTTTCTTTTCCAAAATAATTATTTCAAAGTCATTGCTTAGTTTTGATATTTAAAGTATTTTTAAAACAAATCCACAATGACACAATAGGTTTGAAAGCTAATATTTCAGGAAACAGAAATGAATTTGTACATATCAAGAACGAAAACTTGGATAACTGACAAGCATTCTGCACAGGGAGTACATGGCCAGAAAAAAGGCCTCTGGGCGGCTGGGAGAGGGAACGCCTCGGGAGACAGAAAGAATATTCTGGCTCTGGAAACGGGAGGCCTGGGGGCACCTGCAGAGTGTGTGGAGAGAAGGGCCCTGACAGCCAGAACCAAGGGCCAGAGCAAGGCACGCAAGTGTGGTGGGAAGAGGGCTGAGCCACAGCGCACGGGGCAGCAAGGACAGAGGCCACGGGGGACGAGATACCTCACCCACCTTCAGCAGGAACCAGGCACTCCTTCCCCAATCACCTCAGGTGACACAAGGCAGGTCGGTGCCAAGAAGCCACCAAGGGAAGAAAGAGATGTGCAGACGCCACTGGGGGTGAGTGGGGGGGGATAACCCTGCATATGACTCAAGAGGGACGAACATGTACCTTTTCATGGGAAAATGCAGTGCTTTCAGCTATCGATCAAGAAGAGGGTGGGCTCAATTATAAACAAACTGAGCAAGATAACTTGCGTAGTTATTTGTCTGTGAATTTTACTACTTAAATTTTGACCTTTACCAGAAATTAGCAAAATGAGATTCTCACTCTAACCTCATCATGAAGTGAGTAATTTCCATATATTATCTAATGTAGGGAGGGAGGGTTCTTAAATTATTAAATAGTAAAATGAAGGGTTGGGCTATGCTGAGGTGCTTTTTAATTCTGAAATTCTATGCTTTTAAAAAATTTTATTAATTTATTTGGGTGACACTGATTCGTAAAATGACATAGGTTGCAAGTATACAATTCTATAATACATCGTCTGTATACTGCATTGTGTGTTCATCACCCCATAAATCTCCTTCCATCACCATATATTTGACCCCCTTTACCCTCTACTACCTCCTCCACCCCCCCTTCCCTCTGGTAACCACCATCATACCATTATCTGTGCCTCTGAGTTTTTCTTTCCTTGTCTTGTTCATTTGTTGCTTTCAGTTTTATATCTCTCATGAGTTCTTGTGAGATATAAAACTGAAGTTATATGGTTCTTGACTTTTTCTGACTTATTTTGCTTAGCATGATATTTTTAACAGGTGCTTTTTAATTATGAAATTATATCATTTTGACTGACTTTTTCCTTAATGTTATATCCCTTCAAATTCCTGTTAATTAACTATATGTAATCTAAAATTTAAGAATAATTCATATTTAAGATCAAGACTCACTTAAATGGGGCCAAAAATCAGTAGCTATTATTTTCTCAATCATAATATTTGCTTCTGACATTTGGTGACAGTTTTATCTAATTATAGAAGAAAGAATGAAATTTCCCTGTGAGCCAAAGGGACTATGGAACTCCTGTCCCATACTATATACTTCAAGAGAAGGTACACAGTAGTTACTCAATGTAAGTTGGATGAGTAAATACATGAATTTAGGCTGACTCAGCAATAAGCTGAAGGGCATTTTATTCGGAGCTACATATCAGATCTCTTTAGGTGGATGCATTGGCCAAAGGTGTCACTTCAATATCCCTGGCAACATATGAAGCTATAGGAACAAAATAATTGAAACCATAAATGGAGGTAGTGGTGGAGGGTAGTGGTTTAAAATTCTCAGATGACATTAAATTTGCCCAGCATCTCAAAGGAAATTATGCACATTAAAAATAATACAGGAAAACCCACTAGACTCTCAAAGCAAGTATTTCAGATCACAACACTTTTAGTAATTCTCCTCAATTTTAAGCAAAATGCAACAGCTTCCAGGCTTACAGATACTACTGCATAAATGTGTGCTATGTTTATATAGAGAGATCGATACTTTACTTTTGCTAAAGAAGACAGTCCTGAAATCCCAATTTTATTCTAGAGAAAACTAAAGGCTTGAGATTTGAGCCCAAGCTGGCCTCCAAAGTCTAAGTTCTTCACCTGATGGTGCCTTGAAAACTGTGACGGATTCTTCTGCTATAAAGCACTTGCCTTAACCTCTAAGTAATGCAGAGCATTAAACAGATGAAAACAACCAACTGTATTCTAGTGAAATATTAATCATGAAAGAGATAAATACTCAAAGATACTCTGACTCATTCCTGAGCGTCCTCTGTCCCCTCCCATACATTAGAAATGGCATGTCTGGTCAACAGGTTAAACTTTGGCTATTAATAAAAATTATTAAAATATGAATAGTTTTCAAATAAAATGATCCATATGATAAGGCATAAAGTAATGACTTTTTACATTAAATTATGTTGTTTAAGAAGCAAAGTTAAAAAAAACTTACATTTTCATTTTATACGCTCAACTGAACAACAGCCTCTTAACTGTATCACTAAGTGAATCACCACAATAGTACCTATTGTTCTATTTATTCTCATAAATTCAACAACTTTATCTAAGATATCATATTTGAATGGATTAAAAAATGATACTTAAACTGATACTATACTTAACATTAATCATTATGTTTAAAAATACATATATAAATGTTATTATTTTGTGCTTGAACATACGGGAATTTTGACCTCTGAGGCAGAAAGTTATAAAGAGAAGTACTTATTTTTTAGAGTGAGTTAATAATCACTGTTTTATCGATTTTAACAGATATAGCTATAAAAAAGCTTCAGAGGAAGAGTAAATTCATAGAGAAAAATAAGAAGAAATCTATTTCACCCAAGCAGGAAAGCATTTATAAATAGGTAAGGATACACTTATTTCTAAGTCAAAATGAATAAATTTCATCTATTAGTGTTTCATAAATGGAACATCACGCAGAAGTTGTTACAATACTCCCCTGCCACCTTGAAACAAAACATGTGCCACAACAAATGCTCGCATACACACACCTGAAGTGGAAATTAACACTTCATACTAAGGTGAGCGATGCATAAAGCACGAGGCTGCTCCAATTCAGAGGCTTCATGCTGCCAACACTGACAAGCAAATTTTTCTGACCCCACAGTCCTTTATTCTAAGTCAAGTTCTTAAGTCCATTTGAGGAGATAATAAATTTTAGTTAATTACCTGCCATGTCCATACACAGGATCTATCAAAGGTTCAGGTGAATCTTCAATTTCATTTTTTCTGTTTTCAATGCCCTAAAGAAACCAAATATTCTTGGCTTATTTTAGAAACTAGAAATAAATATTACTGTAGTTTAAAAATTGACCCATTTGTACCAGAATTTAATAAAGCATGATTACTTAAGTAACTTTCTCCCAAAGAATTAACAAAATTTGAATCAGTGGTGCATCTGAGATGACAATGGTAAGAAGTAGTTTCTCCAAGAATATCTTCTTCTTTTCTTCCACCGGCGCTATATAAAGAATACAAGTAAGAGGTCTAATGTTGGTTAAATGGGTAAAGAGAGATAATGTTTAAATTTCAAGAGGGGGAAAGAAATTATATAATCCAAAATTAATACTCATTTAACTTTAGGCTAAATTAAATTCAAAACCAATATACCTCCTAAGGCATCTGATATATTCTCTCAGGTCATCTGAAAAGTTTATTGGTTCTAAATGCATGCACACAAGAGTGTTGATAGAGATATAAATTTAAAATCACAAAAGGTATAAAGACACATAAGGAAATGGAAGGCTTGCTTCTGACTGTGCGCTCTCACAAATACTAGCAATTCAAATGTGTACTGACAAAAATACAAGTTAAGAGAGCAAGAAGTTTCTTACTTCCTTAAAAACCAATTTTATGTCTTTAATCCCCAAAAGGGCATCCAAAATCCCAAAGGTCTAGATACTGGATCACTACCAGAAGACTTGGCACAACTCCAAAACCACAAAGATAATCTGCCCTTCACTGGGCTACTCACCCAACAACCATTGCTTCTCTCAGATCACAGGCTACTGCTAAGGGTTAGAGACGATTAATCAATGATCAAAATATTTAATGATTGTGTAAGCACATGTAGGAGAACACGAACAAGTACGAGACCTTGCACTTGCCTTCCTTGTAAACAACGATACAAAGCAGCCTCTGATACAGCCAAAATGAATAGGAACAAGTGACAAAATCACTGGGGGGGGGGACGGACATCATTTCTAAGACAGGCTCAGGAAGAACAACTAGACTTGATGGTTTGTTGGCTGTAAAGGACCAGAGGCAGAGGAGGCATCCAAAGTCTGGAGCGTGAAAAACTGGCAGAATAATGAACAGTTAAAAGGAAATCATCAGAAACCAGTCGCCTTAGATGCCTCCATCGCCGTATTCACCTCTTCTAACCAACTGCCAAGTACTTTCGGTCCTTTCACTCAAACATCCTCCTAAATGTTCTTAAATTTCTGAATTTAAAACATGCTTCTGCATATGCTCCTTTTCTTTTCCATTTCCCTGGTCACTGCCCTAGTTCAGGCTCATCTATTTCAATAACCACTTTTCTAGTTTTCCTGACTCTAGACTTCGACCCCACACACCAACTCCCCCCAGTGCAACTCTCATCCCAATTTAAGGAACTTTTTTTAACAAAAAGGTCTTGCATGGCCTTGTTGAAAATTTTTGTTTTATTTGAATTTTGGCCACTTGAGATCTAAAGTATTTTTGCATAATACACAAGTCATAAGGAACCAGTCATCTCAGATACCTCCACCACTGGTCATTACCAATAACTTTTGTATCATAAAAATTCATATTCTAGCCTGGCCGGGCACGGCTCAGCGGTTGAGCATCAACCTAGGATCCAGGTGATCGGGGTTCGATTCCCGATCAGGGCACATGCCCAGGTTGTGGGCTCGATCCCCAGTCGGGGGCCTGCAGGAGGCAGGCAATCAATGACTCTCTCATCGTTGATGTTTCTCTCTCTCTCTCTCTCTCCCCCTCTCCTTTCCTCTCTCTGAAATCAATAAAGGTATATTTAAAAAATTAAAAAATAATAATAATAATTAATAAAACTTCATATTCTAAACCTTATTTCTATACCAGCCCCGGCTCACGTTCTGCAGTTGCCTTTCTGGTGTTCACTGTGCTGCAGTAATGCGGAACATCTCATGGTTCCCCAGACACGTGTTAGACCCTCCACTGGCTACACCTTTACACTTGCCATTCCCACTGCTGGGAAAATCTTCCCAGAGCTTTGCTGTCTAGATAACTTTTCAGGCCCCGCTTTGATTTCACCAAATAAACTTAGGGGTACCTTTACTACCTCCCCTTCTGCTTTGAGCCTGCCACACACACACACGCCAGAAGCGCCACCATACGGAGCAATCATTAATGTGTCAACGGATTTTAGAACACTGAAGAGGAACCATTAAATACAATCAATCCCACACTGTCAGTCCAGGGCCTAATACAGAGTCGGTACTCAATAAAGATGTGGCCAGTGAAAGAAGTTTAATTTTAGCATCATAAATCTAGAAGGATAACTGAGATTAACAGGCTATGAAAGACATGAGATTGGCACTTGGGGGAAAAGGGCAGGACTGGTACTGTACATATCGGAATTAAACACATAATCTAAGAGAATGAGATACTGATAAAAGAAGCAGCATACAGAACCCAGGGACTGGAATTTCTGGAATATACAAGCTTAGAGAAGAAGAGAAAGAACGCGGAGGTAACAGGTAAAAATGGAAAGATATAAACAAAAATGACATTATAATGTCTCATAATTATAGAAAGAAAACTTAGAGAAATGATTTATCAGATAAGTTAAGAGAGGGAGTGGGGTTAGAAACAGCTTCCAGGGGACTTAAGGTGCCAATTACCAGACATTGCTAAGAGCAAAGACAATAAATTCTGAAGAACTGAGTGCATTTCATAATTAGCACATTACTGAAAAGCTCTGCAGTGCAGAAGAGCAGGGAGAGTAGGTTTCAAAGTGGTTAAATAACCAGTGAGCAGTAAGGAAAGAGAATTCTTATCAGCATAAGAGATTTTTTTTTTTTAAATGTTTTTATTGATTTCAGAGAGAGGAAGGGAGAGGGAGAGAGAGAAACATCAGTGATGTGAGAGAGTCACTGATCGGCTGCCTCCAGCTGGAGATCGAGCCCCAACCGGGGCCTGTGCCCTGACCAGGAATCTAACCTCGACCTCCTGGATCACAGGCCGATGCTCAGACACTGAGCCACGCCTGGCTGGGCCAGCATAAGAGATTTTTATTCTGAGATTTAGAAACAGCAGCTAGAATAAATGTTTTCCTCATAGCAGGAAAGATGTACTAAACTCGAACTAATAAAAGTCAGCAGAAGCATTTTCTTAAACCTCTGTCAGGAGCACAGATTACAGAAAAAACAATGCTCCAAATCTGTTTCCCCACATTGAATACTGGTCCAGGACGGCATCTTTTAATTTGGATAAACTTCTGAATGACCTTTTTCTGGGGGTTGAAAAGAATTCAGTATGAGTACCACCATGAAGTTTACTACATCCATAAATAGGAAAACTCTTGAATTGTCTTATACTTTAAAATGTATATATACAAACAGGAGATTTTTGTGTCTCAAATGTTCAAATACAAATTTATCCATTAAAAGCAAAAGCTATTGCTGACAACTGTCGCTACATATATAATATCTCCCATTAAGATAGAATGCCACTTGGTAGGGAATCTCTTAGGTGAACTTTCCAGCATTGATAAATTATTCAATAATTATATAATTATTTAAGGAATGAGGTGGCCCTCTTCTGAGTTTGAGAACAAACAAAACTTGACTTTTTAAAGCCTGAAAATTATTTAACAGATATATGAATACCAAAGATAAGTTCTACATTTATGACTCTTTTTAAAAGAAATTAATATTTCAAATCAAATGCCACCTATACTTCTATTACCACAGCTATCCTTACCATTTATTTTGTAATAAAAAGTTTAAATCCTCTAATGATAATATGGCCCTTTAAATGAAAATCATAGAAGCATATTTGGACAAACAATAAATGATAATTCAAATATTAGTATTTATTTGACTGTCTACTAGAAACCTTTACAGTCAGTCAGGACAGAGAAACATTAAGCTAAAATTATTTTTCACTGTAATGATGAAAAAGCTTTTAATGACATACAAAGTGTATTTTGATAGTTAATTTAGAAATTTAAATAATTTAAGTACACATTTACAAGTTATTTTTTTTAATTTGAAAATTTATCCTCAGGCATATCAATGTAAGCACCTTTCCCTACTATGAAGAGATTTAAATGGCAATATGTCCACAAGGTAAGAATTTTCAGTGTTCCAGTGTTACTTACTAAATTATTCCATGAAATCACTCAAGGACAAGCTCTTCCACAGCCAAGGCAGCTATACATAAAAGACACTTTTTAGCACCACACATGGCAAAGAAATGACACAAGATACACACAGCAGGCTGCAAACACCTTTAAGCAATCAAAATATTCCCTCTTTTCTTACTCCCTTAAAATCCTCAGTTTACTTTCAATTTTATTATAATATAAATTTATACTTCAACATCTTAGTTACCAGGATTATAACTAAATGAATAGAATACTGAGAGTATTGGAGGGTGATTTAATAACAAACACTTCTTGTCAATTCAGTTATGCTATGATAGTTTTTAAAATTATTGGCAATCACGGTGCTTCACACATCATTGTAATGTGTCCTGTACTTTTAAATAATCTTTCAAGCCAGAGATCTAAGTAAAATCATTATACCTAATCTTTCCCTTTGTAATATAAAATCTTTAGGTTTAATGCTTAATTATTTAACAAATGTGTATAAAAAGGCATAGAGCCTTGAAACTACATGGGTTCAATGACAGCTTTCTTTCCTCACTAATTCATATAACTGTTGAGAAGTTTTCAGTAACTTATTTAGATTATGTTTATTAATAAGGTACAATTATAAATTTGAAAAAATCCAAGTAAATCAAAGAGCATTTAAGTCAAAGGTAATGCTTAGTTAGCACTTCTCCAAGTGCCAGGCCCCTTCCCAAGTGCTCTACAGGTCTTACCTCACTTAATCCTCATAACCACCCTGTCAGTCCTTATTTTGCTCAAGAGGAAACTGAGGCACAGAGAAGAATCCTCTCAAGGGCACACAGCAATAAATAGAGCTGAGATTTCAACCCAGAGAGTGATGGCTCCCAAAGTCAGTCTTTAACGATGAATGAAAATACCTACTCCAATTTATCACCACGAACAATTTCATACGTGTTTATATACATTTGTAAAGCAAATCTTACTACTTTCAAATATTAACTCTCACTGGGGAAAGAAACTGATTCATTAAGTATTAAAAATGAAAAATTTTTGATTTACAATTTAAAAGGTCACATTACTCTAGTCTTTCAAAGTCTAGTTTTAATTTCCAAACGCTTCAAATTACTTTTGAAAATCTTGAAAAGTCCAATGGATTAAATAATCTTTTGATGTGTGTGGGAAAAAATCTGAAATTGAACTTGAGGATTCATTACTGCAAACAAGTGCGTTACTGGAAGCCAAAACCATACACACCACACAAGCCAATGAAATGAGTGTTTGTGCAGAATGTAACATTGACAATGGGGAAAATTTCAGGACAAAATAAAAATTCTATCTAACCTTTCCAAGTTGTATTAGTTTTTCTGTGCCTGATTAATAAATGATTTTACTGGCATATACTACAAAAGTTGACATAAATATAGTAATTTAGAGAAAGGCGGGAATCTAAATAAAAAGCTTGGCAGGCAGGATGCTAGAACATATAAAACATGAGAAAAAGAACACAGCTGGGAAAGAAGGAAAAAAAGGTCAAATAGATTGTTACCTGGAATAAAATTTTCAATGTAAGTTCATTTCATTTGTAAGGTAAATTCTCAGATTTTCAGGTATTAAAACTTTTCAAATTTATACAATTATAAAAAATAAAATAAAATACGGTTCTATTCATATCCACTTTTAAAATGAGGCGAAGTAAATTGGAAAATTACTAAGGTATATTTTTCGGAGGGGAATTCAATAGAGTATGCCCACCAATTACTGGAGAACCAAAGTTAACGTATTACGAGGCCATGGAACCTATCATGACGGAATGTACAGCACAGTCTACAGTAAGTCCGTAGTATATACCAAGATACAAAGAAAAAATGTTACAGAAAAATCTAACTATTTCCTTACATTTTAATACAGACTGGCTTTAAGCACCTAATCTTGAATAGAAATTTTAATTAGTTCAACTATTCCTGCCAAAATTTTGATAACCTTAGTGAACTATTAAACATACTTACATGCAACCCAGTAAAACCTGGAAAATATTTAAAACAATATTAACGACATTTTTTACTATCATCCTTGTGAATATTTTCCACTCATTTCCTTCAACTGTATTACCAAATCTAAAAATGGTAAATTTTCTGAAAGCTTATACTTGAAAAGCCTGAAAAAGAGATGTGTTTGAACTGTTCTAATTTTACAAATTCTTCCTTGTGAATGTGCTACTCCTACAATTTGCCACTGTAACTGCAGAGCAGGAGAGAACATTCTGACATCACAGACACATTTTAGCTCAAGGGGGCAACAGTGCATCATGGACAGTCCCACAGGGAAAGCGAGATGAATATCACAGTCAGAATTCACTTTCTAGAAATCAGTTGGCTAATTTCTTTAAAAATAATTTCCAGAGATGATAGTCGATGGAATGCATTATAGGTAGAATAAGTCACTTATTCAATATAAGCCCTTGGAACTACCGATTACCAAAAGCCACCTGCTAGCAAGATAGTTCCTAAAAAGAAAAAAAAGAACAGCCACTCTTTTCATCTAGCTTCTGTACCACCAGAAATCTCCATTTTACTAGTTCATTCTGGCAGTTTTTACACCAATTACATAAGAATATTCAAAGGATAAAGGACACAGATTATATGATTTTCATAATGAGAGGAATTGTTACTTAATTTATTTTAAAGAGGANGGAGTTGTTACTTAATTTCTTTTAAAGAGGATCTTTCCCTTGGCCAGGTGGCTCAGTTGTTGGAGTGTCGCAGGTTCAGATCCTGATCATGGCACATACCCGGGTTTGGGTTTGATCCCTGGTCTCCAGGCCTATCAGGGAGGCAACCGGTGGATATTTCTCCCCCACATCTACGTTTCTCTCTCTCCCTCTCCTTACCTCTCTCTCTAACATCAATTTAAAAAAAAGTGAAGTCTTCAAAGTCTGAAAAACTGAAATTAAAATTCATAATTAAAATTACTTTAAAATAATTCTTATACAGTAACAATGTCTAAAAAGTTAAGGAGGAAAGGAAATAACACATAATGAAAAAAAAGTGCCCATTTTGATCTAGGAAGCAACATAAAGTATTTTAAAAATTTCTGATGTCAAAAAAGGCCCTCCCCCCAATATCAAAGTAAATATTAAAACATTTAAAACAATACTATATAGAAATAGGTACTTTAAACTTTCTAAATGAGAGCATCAAAGCTCAAAAGACAATGTTATGTAGGTGGTAAACTAGAACTTTAAAAAAAGTTTAAGAGACACATTTCCCTTTTCACCAAAAATTGAAAGCAAAAATAAAGAAATGTAATATCCTCTAGTAATTAAAATAATCAAAGGGGAAATGAAAAATACTAAGGGTCATGGATTAAGCTTAGGCTAAAAGAGTTCCTCATGATGTTGAAAATCTTCATTTCTTTTTTAGGAGGAAATACTAAACTTGCTGGAAGAGGAGCCTTGTATTTCCACAGCCCTTGTTACTGTAGATGAGAAGCTGACCATGTGAATACCCCTCATTTCTCCCTNTTACTGTAGATGAGAAGCTGACCATGTTAATTCCCCTCATTTCTCCCCTAAAAGGAAATCACTTAGCTGGGTCTGAGCAGGAGCGGTGACATTTCTCCATTCGTGGCACATGAGGGGCTCACCATGTCCCAGCCCCTCACTCCTCATTTAAGATAAGATGGCACTGGCCCGCTGCCCATCAGTAAAATTATCANCCAGCCCCTCACTCCTCATTTAAGATAAGATGGCACTGGCCCGCTGCGCAGCACTAAAGTTATCGCAGCTGCGGGGTTTTCTTACAGCCGCCCTGCACAGGCTTTTGTTTTCACAATATCTGGAAATGGCCTAGGAGCAGAAATCAAAGAGAGCACAGACACGTTAGAAATCACAGGGCTGCAGCCTGAGCACAGAAAGCACCACCACTGAGCCGCACATGCCGCTTCCTCAGGCAGATGACAGCTCCTCCCCTTGGGCAGCTGCGGTCTCCGCGGCCAAGCCCTTGGGCTTCTCCTTTAAGCTAATTCACTGAGGTGAGTCTCTTAGGGACTGCGATTAGATGGCCAGAGAAAAGGGGAACTTAGAATTTATTTTAAAGTTTGGGTTTTCTCAATGGTGTCTAAGGCGTGACAGGCTCCTAACAACACTATCACCTGTTGCCTGCGCACTTGGTCCCTTAAATATAATAAACACAAGGGGGAAAAATGAGTGTTTCCTCAGCTATTTAAATTCTATCCAATCTTCATTAGTTATTATCTGCTCTAAGCAAATTTAAATGAGGCAGGCTTCTGCTGTACTTTCCTGAAAGGTAGGAAAGATCTAATGATTGAAGCACCACAAGGTACTGTTTCACTTGCAAGTTAATTATGGTAGAAACACGCTGTTTCCTAAAGTACAATCAAAATCCCATAGGAAGTGTCTATTTTAAGAGTGTCCATTTCAATTGTGAATAATTTTGTTGTATACTCACCAAAAGTCAGAAGCCATAAATATGACTTTGTTCCATGTACTTTGCCATTTCCATTAAAAGCCCATGTACTTTCTACTCCGAGTATTTCAAACACACATTCCACAATTAATACAGGTCCCTCGGGTGAGCTTGTCTAACAAACTCACAGGACTGAACTGTGATATATACAGAAAAGGCATGAACTTGCAAACTGAGTTAAGAGTAGTAAGTAGGTTATGTTTGTAGATATGATTAGTGATTCAATTGTAAGAAATTATTCATGTATGATTAGAAAAAAAGAACAGAGTTTAAAAAAACCATCAAAGATTAAATTTGATTTAAAATATTCTGAATCATGGTCACAGAAAAGATAATTTTCTTCTAATGTGGGATTCCTCCTATCAACCATAAGAGATACCGGAAATACGATGCAAAAGAGTTAAGTCTTAAACCTGTTAATTTTAAAAGCTTTTCACTGTCCTACATAATCTGATTTACCCACAGATGGTGTCTGGTGTCTGGTGGAAACCCCACTCTGTGACTCCACAGCCTTACCTCCAGGGCCTGTGCTCTTTCTTTTCGCAGACAAGCAAACTCATTAGGCAATTTGTGGTCACTTGCTAAGGACCGAAGGTCAAAATAGTATTTGGCATAGACACTGGCAGAGACGTGCAGACGAAACCGGAGTAGAAATAAATACTGCGTCTCCAGCTCATTTCTGAGGAAGAAGGAAAACACAAAACCCACACGGGCGCGTCAGTCCCGGGCGCCCGCAGGCCCGGCTCAGCCCGAGGCTGCTCTGACTTAGTTACGAGACCACAGAGGCCCCGCGGCGCTGCTGCGCCAACGCTCAGACAGCGCCCAGGGCGCAGGGCCTCGGGGCCCTTCCGCACCCCAGCACTTTGAGGTCGGGACAAGGGGGAGCAGGGGACGTCCCCCTGAGCCCTGTGCTGCTGGCCCGGGCTCGTTCCCCAGAGTCCCGGCGGCGCAGCTGGAGGCTCCCGCTCCTCCCCGCGCACAGGCCCCGCTGCGGTGCGGGCGGCAGGAGCTGCGGGGCTGTTTCTCAGCTGAGACCCTGCGGGCTTCCTCACCAGGCCTGTGCCAGGAAGGGGCTCATGAAAGGAGAGATGTGCCAACACAGGAGCGGGCACATGGCCATGGCAGCAAACGGAGCACTGAGAGCTGCCACTATTATCTTAGAGGGACAAGTCTTGAGGCAACAAGGATTCACCTCTAGTAAATAAATAAACAAAGATGCCACACTCAGGGGGAAAGGGGAACCCTCCCCGCCCCCAGTGCACGGGGCTAATGTCAAAGGGCACATGCAAGTTTCTGTTCACCTGAACCTTACTGGGGAGAGAAACTGTCACTTTCACAGACCTGGATGCACTTTTAAAACTCTGGAAGGCAGAAGATTACAGATCGATGTCTTGGCTGGACTAAGCCCACCTTATGATATGGCTTCTGAGCGAGCACTAGAGTCAAACTCAAACAGTGTTCCCCACGCTGGGGATGAGATCCCGAAATGTTCAGCCTGCCCTGCCCCTTCCCAGAACAGCAGGGGGACATTCCCAGGTGAGGTGCGTTCAATAAAGCAGGAAAGGAAATTTGGGAGCAGTCCCTTGCTATGTGACCATAGTGCTGTCACTTGCCAAGAGGTTAAATAGAGTAAATTGTACTACTTCATGGTCATCCCTTGATAGAGTTACTTAGTAAAATGATAAATACCTGAACAAATGTAAGATAACCTTTTTTAACATAATTTGCTTTCCTAGTTTTAAAGCTTTAATATTTTATCCATTGGATAGGTCAACTAAAGCTTGATGTTCTTCTGTATGGAGAGCAGTCAGAACATGAGCAGAGATGAGGTTTTTCTCACTTCTTACACTTTAAACCTAACTCAACCTACTTCCAAAATTAATTTCCTGTTCATATGGCCATAAGTCTATAGAAATGTGAACCAGGTAATATTCTGATAATCAGATAAACAGAACTTACGACAGGAATAGATGCACTTTACTGTCCCATTTACATTTTCATCACAACTGCATGCTAATTGTGACGTATAGCACCTACCTACGGTCACCATGTCTGTTAACAGGGATTAATCATGAAGCAAAGCATGATGCCTACAGATCATGCAGCATCTGGTTTTTTCTTTGTTGTTTTTTAGTTTTTCAATGGCTACACGGCTGGATGGCAGACCATTTAGGGCACAGCAAATTTTCTGAGTAGCAGCTGCTCAGTTTAACTTATTCTTTCAAAGGAAAATCACATTCTAAAAAGACATATAGATGTTGGAAAGTTTTAAGAAAAAGCTGATAGACATCAATTTTTCAGTTTAGACTCAAAGGAGATCGCTACCAATAGTAGACAACAGCAGGGGGATGATACCAACGTATATGAAACATGGTTATAGTACCTTCTAATTTCCAAAGATCATAAACAAAAGCAGTCTATTATAAACATAGTTCCTGGTGTTTCTCTGTTTATACACAAAAAGCATTCTCTACAACTAGCCTGTACCTACACACGGCTGCCATTTCCCCTGAAGCTCACATCGATGACACCTCACACATTTCCCTGCACATTCTCTGATGTTATAACTAGCCCTTTGCGGTCGTTTGTTTACTCTCAGCCACCAAAGCTTTTTTACCGTTCTGGTTGTATGTCTGCTCTCAGCCACCACAGCAAGGAACCGTACGAATCTTAACTCCATTCATGTATTAGTTCATAATTTTTCTTCTTTATCCTTCATAATCTTGCATGTTATGTATCACTGCTCTTTCAATGGAAATTAATTCCAACCAGTACCACACCCATGTCCAAGTTTAATATGACCACAAAGGCCTAGAGCCAGATCCCCAAGAGCTGAGTTGCAGGTTTTTAGAAAACTTCAGCTCCCACCATGGCGGACCTAGTGTTCATGAGCACAAAATATCCATCACTCCAGGGACCAGTTTGAAGACTGATGACAGTGGTGTCAAAGTCACTTTAGCTTCTGCAACTTCCCCCCCAAAAGTAATTCCATTGGTTTCAAATTTATTATTTACTGTCATACCCTTTGCTAAGATCACTACCAGCAAGGTCACTCTGACTACTCAGTTTACACAATTATCAAAGTCTGCTTTTCTACCAAAAGCCACTTTAACAGCTACTGATAATCCCTGGCCCCTTCTGTTTGTCACAAACATCCTCACTTTAGTTCTCAATATGCATTTTGGTAATTCTGAAAGGGTCTTTATCTAGAGTAATGAGCAAAGGTAACAGAAACATATTCTGGCTACTGCCCACCATCATCTCAATTTCCTACGATGTTAAATATAATCTAGAAGGGTCCTTTCACATTTTCTTAAAGAGACGCACAAAGACATTTTCAAAATTGTTATGAAGTTTATTGGGGTCACACTCGTTAATCAAATTATATAGGTTCAAGCATACAGTTCTCTGATATATCATCAGTATATGTGGCATTGTGTGCAGACCACCCAAAGTCAAATCTTTTTTCATCACCAGATATTTGACCCCCTTTACACAAAGACATTTTCACTGTCAAGCAGGCACTCTGTCTGCTGGAAACACCTTTTGGGCTCATCCTGCCTACCACCCTCAGGGCCTTCACAGCAGTTAATGTGGCCCGATCAAAACTCCTTGTGATGTTTGGGGTTCCACTCCCATCTCTGCATGCCAGCTCTGAGGAGCACCCTCATGGGTAACCTATGGCCTCCAACAAAGCACTGCTGTGGTTGCTGAGTGCCCCTGAAAATTATCAAGTAGGGTGAGCACTGGGAGAGGCCAGTGATGTTTCTCTAACTGCCTGAGAGGTAGGAACTTCCTAAATCATCAGACCTAGTTTTAAACACGTGAAATGCTCATTAAAGAGCAGGACAGAGCACAGGTATCTGCAACCTGTATACGTGGCTAATCTTCTATCCTGGTTTCTTTAACAACAGAACTTTCAGATAAAAGGAGAAAAAGACCAGTAAAAGCAAATATACAATGTGTGACTCAGGTTTAAGCTATAACCCCCTCAATAGTCTAGAGGCCCTAAGGCCGTAACAGTGGCCAAAAATTTATTTCAAAGGCGAGATGTATGCCCCTTAAAAATGGACTGGAGACAACAGAAAAATGTTGAGTGGGATCCAAAAGGGTGGTAGAGTAGGTAAAAGTTACCCTCACTCCTCACAGGACCAAACTGGAATTACAACTAAAATATAGAGCCATCAATTCGAATAACCAATAGAAGACTAGCTGAACAGGAGTCTTATAACCAAGGATTTATGAAGAAGCCACATCAAGAGGCTTTTGGTAGGAGGGGCAGAGACTTGAAAAGGGCTGGCCCCGGCACATATGTGTACTGGCCAAGCATCCAGACGGCTATCTCAGCTACAAAGGTCTCCTCTTAAAAGCACAGGGGCTCAGCCCCACACCCAGCTCCCCAGCCCAGAGCACTAGAGCCAGGCAAAGGAGCCCACATAACATCTGGCTATGAAGATAATCAGGGATCTGTCTTCCAGGGAGAGATAGCCATCTGATAGAAACCCAGGCAACCTCTTAAAGAGCCAGCATACAAAATCTTGTTTATGGTCACTTACCCTAAGCACAAACAAAAGGAGGGTGGCTCAGTGTAGACTAGTGAAAAGAAACTAGGATGTGTGGCTCTGGGAGAGAGCTAAGGGACAGCTTCCAGAATCTCTGTGATGAGTCCCTCTCCCCCACTGCCCACAGAAATCATCTTTCTTGGGTTAAGGACTCTTCTCCTATGATATCACACTGAGGGAAAGCATAATCCCACCCTCTGGATTCCTGTCCTCTTACCCTGCAGAGCTCATATCCGACAGAAAATTCAGCTACCTGGGCCGAGGGTGTAGAGGTCTGGGCAGACTCAGGGTGTGTCAGAGACGGAGTTGTGTGGCTTTGGTTCAGGGGCCTTTTCTCCCCACCCTCCTTCCTTAGAGCTTCACAAGTGCCACCTCACCCCTTTAAGAGATCCACTAGTTCCACCTTCTGGAATCCTAAGAGCCCTGCCCTGCTGGACTTGGGGTCTCCAGGAGCTCTCAGCTAAATCAAGGAAGACTGAATTGTGTAGCTTCAAGTCAGGGGCCAATTTTCCCTTGCATTTTCAAGTGGTGTACAACCATCCCTTCACATCACCAAATCTTGGTCTGTTTGGGCCTGAAAAACTCTGTTGGTTGACAGCAGGTGACTCCCTGAGAAACCGCTTTACCAAAAAAGTCTGTGGGCACCCAGCATTTGACAACTGGCTTTGATGTACCCTGGGAATTTTTTTTTTGAGTGGCCTGAGACTCAGCACTGGCACAAAGTTTCAATATGTACTAGTCTGATAAACATCACTTTCCCCTACCTAATGACTCACTGAGTACCTAACTCACCTAACTTGGTATTTCCAGAGGCTCTTTCAGTGACCCAGCTTAAAAGGCAGCCTACAGCCCGGCCGGCCGTGGCTCAGTGATTGAGCGTCGACCTAGGATCCAGGTGATTGGGGTTCGATTCCTGGTTAGGGCACATGCCTGGGTTGTAGCCTCAATCAATGGCTCTCTCATCATTGATGTTTCTATCTCTCTTTCTCCCTCTCCTTTCCTCTCTCTGAAATCAATAAAGATATATTAAAAAAAAAAAAAAAAGGCAGCTTACAAGTGGAGGCAGGTAAAGGTGGATTGTGAAGTGCCTGGGGCCTTTTGCTGACCTGCACCAAAG